GTTTCAGGGACGTGTCTTCAAGGATGTATAACTTGAAATCCTAGCATTTCTATGAGAAGTTTTGTTCTGCAATATCTTAGATCTCATTGAAATCTATAACTCTTGTGTCATAAATTCTTCCAGAATCAACTTGTATCATGGTGAAAATCTGGCCAGAAGTTCTAAACTAGTCATATTTCTTAAACACTTAGAAAAATTTCTAAGTATTTAGAATCTTGACTTTTCCAACATAATTTGACTTTTGACTGTCTTAATGAAACAAACTTCATATTCTAACATGTCTTGATGAAATATGATTTTTTTAACTTGATTTTGACCTAAAAGTCAAAGTTTAACTTTGTAGTGTGTAATTGACCATTTTGCCCTTGTGCCAAATCCAAGCCTAAATTGATGTATCAGTGCTGCAAACTTGAGTCGTGGAAGATCTTGTGAGATATTTCTTGAGAAATGAGATGGAAAATTTTGGGGTACAACATGGGGCATTGACATGATCAGAGAAATTAAGCCTACTGCATCTAATAGACATTGTTTCATCCTCGTCGCCATTGACTACTTCACCAAATGGGTCAAAGCAACTTTATTTGCCTCAGTTAATAAGAATGTTGTAGCTCAGTTTATCAAGCATAACCTCGTCTGTCGATACGGCATCCCTTAAAGGATCATCACTGACAACAGTACCAACCTCAACAATGCCACGATCACTGAACTCTGCATGCAGTTCAAGATTAAGCATCACAACTATTCTCCATACAGACCTAAGATGAATGGTGCAGTGGAAGCTGCCAACAAGAACATGAGATTCTACCATTTTCTCTTCATGGTTATCATACTTCGGCGCAAACATCAACTGGGGCAACCCCATTATCTTTAGTATATGGCATGGAAGTTGTCCTGCCTGTCGAAGTTCAAATCCCTTCTCTAAGGAGCATGAAAGAAGAAGACTTAGGGGAAGACGAATGGCTTCAGACTAGATTGGATCAGTTGAATTTGATTGATGAAAAGAGACTAGCAGCTGTCTGTCATGGTCAAATGTATTAAAAGAATATGATCAAGGCATTCAACAAGAAGATCAAGCCTCGAGTGTATCAGACTGGTGACTTGGTAATAAAGCGCATTATTTTACCACAAGGCGATCCCAGGAGAAAATGGACTCCCACTTACGAAGGGTCATTTGTTGTCAAGAAAGTATTCTTTGGCGGTGCTATGATGCTAACCACTATGGGCGGTGAAGAATTCTCACGCCCTGTTAACGTAGACATAGTCAAAAAATATTATGCATAAGAATGACCCGCTAGGTTGACATACCTAGGCAAAAATAAGGGCATCTCGGTGAACCAAAAAGGTTCGGGGAAAAATTAGGGATATATATAAAAGATTGTACACCTGGTAAGTCAAAAACCTGAAAGAGTGGCTTGGGCAAAAAGGGTATCCTGGTGGATTAAAAACCCAAAATGACGGTCCAGGCAAAAGTTAAGGATCAAAACGTATGATTGTGTCTCGTTGGATCAATACAACCAGCTTTATTACCAAGGTCAAAAGTTCAAATGGTACAAGATCAATCCAATCAACTTCTTCTAACATCAAGGGATGGGATGTTCAAAGACATATGGGCAATATCAGAGTTTGGAACCCAATGAGATCACTTCCACATGGCTATACATTTTTGTTTTCACTTTGTATTCTATTCATTTCACGACGACTTCCTCTTACTAGGATTTTCGTCTCTTTGTAAAAAAAAAGTTTTTATAGGCAAATTATCAATACAAATATAATTTGAAGTGCAAACTTTTGTTTTTTTTTTGTTTTGATTGCAAAAATGTACAATGACCAAAATTGAATGAACATATGCATATGAACATGATTAACTGTTAACAAATATATGCATGAGAACATGAATAAATATTTACTCTAGGAGCCAGGATAATACTCATGTTGTCTATAAATCCCCATAGAGTAAATTCATACATTCTCCACAATTTCCTTTCGGAGTTCCAATCAGCATATCTCCTGGAAATTCTCTTCCCCAGTCGAGTTTGGCCTTCCAGAACTTAAAGAAAAACCTTACAAAGCTCTTCCCCAGAAGAATTTGTTTCTCCAGTAAAGCCACCAGAGTTTTTTTCCTCAACAGGGTTTATTTCCTCAACAGACTACAATCTCCCCAGATTGAATCAGCTGACAAAAAAATCCTCTGCCCCAGTAAAATCACTGTTTTCCCCAGAAAGTTGCTCTAAAACCTGGAAACCAGCCAGATACCAGTTAACTTCATCCCCCCTAGACAAGTCAGAAGATTATCCATCTCTTTTATCCCCAGTTAGGACGTATAAGAATTAAATTCCCTAGTAGATTAACAAACGGTTAATGTTCCTGAAATTTACTCCCCAAACAAAAATCAACATTCCCAACAGAGTTTCCTCAAACAAGCAAACTAGAATCCCCAACGGAAGAATTCAAGACAAGGTTGAAGATACACATACTCTTCATACACAACAATAGTCAGGGATTTATTTTCCCAAACAAGGATACACTTAAATAACATTTCACATTCATACATCATAGCATATACATAACAAAATGCATATAGCACAATCTCATTTATTTTGAGAACATCATTATGTAATGCATGCATCATCACATTGCATACAACTAATTCTTTACATTTTGAAGGAAAGATCAATCAAAAGACAAACACAGACCTTCTGCTGGCTCAGATTAGGTTCTGATACCTCTTTCAATAGACCTTTCTCCGGCTCAGATTAAGTTCTGATACTTTGTTCGGTTAAAGACATCAAGACCTTCTACTAGCTCATATTAAATTCGGATACCTCTTTCAGTAGACCTTTTGCCGGCTCAGATTAAGTTCTGATACTTTGTTCGATTAAATACATCAAGACCTTCTGCTGGCTCAGATTAAGTTCTAATATCTCTTTCAGTAAGACTTTCTCCGACTTAGATTAAGTTCTGATACTTCGTTCGGTTAAAGACATCAAGACCTTATGCTAGCTCAGATTAAGTTCTGATACCTCTTTCAGTAAAACTTTCTCCGACTCAGATTAAGTTCTGATACTTCATTTAGTTAAAGACATCAATATCTTTTGTTGGCTCATATTAAGTCCTGATACCTCTTTCAGTAGACTATTCTACGGCTCAGATTAAGTTCTGATACTTTGTTCGGTTAAAGATTTAAAGACCTCCTTTGGCTCAGACTAATTTCTAATACTGCTTTCAGACATAGGCATCTTTTGGCTCGGACTAAGTTTTGATACTTATTTCAATAGATCTCTCTCCTGCTCGGATTAAGTTCTGATACTTCTTTCAGTAGATCTCTCTTCGGCTCAGATTAAGTTCTGATACTTCTTTCGGTTAAGGATATAAAGACTTTCTCCGACTCATATTAATTTCTGATACTTCTTTTGGTTAAAGACAACAAGACCTTTGTTATTTCAACTTAAATCGACCAGAGATTTATTCTAATACTCCTTCCAATCTCTATCAACAGTTATTGTCGGGTGAAGACTCATTCTGATCCACTTTTAGATACAGTTCGGCGTAGACTCATTCTAATACATTTTTCAGATACAATCGGGCGTAGATTCTGTTGTACCCCACTTTTTGCCCCTAAGATCCCTCGTCATACTTCGTACATTTCGCACATAGCATCGGTCTCATGGTTATAAGATCGAAGAGCTTTGGCATTAGGGTTTTTCTCTCTGAATGGAGGTGGGTCTCTTCAAATGAAAAGTGACTAGAATCTGTGGATTTAATTGAGATTGAGGTACATAACCTTCATTACGTCATCTGACGCATCATGCATCATTAATCAATAGTTTGGCTTGAGATCGGGGATTTCGAGGAATTAGGTTTGTTGAATGGCTTTAAGGCTCTTGTCTTCGCACAAGCTTGTCTCGGTTGATTTCTCCATCAATCATTTGTTCGAATTAGGATTTTATTTCCTGGACTTCTTTATCATCAAATTACATGGATATTCCTTCTCCTCAGCATCAAGTTGCAATATTTCTTCAATGCTTAAGAATTAGGGTTTTCTTCTGTTATGCTTCAATTGGAGATCATTGGATTAAGGCTCGGTCTTGTGGTTATCTTGGGTTTCTCCTTCTTCAACATTGTGGACTTGTTTTGAACGATACAGTTTTTGGTTCTCATCAAATATTTGTTACTTCAATTGCAAGTTAACTTGGACTATTGAGAGAAATTACTAGTGATCTGGATTCGTTAAGACTTCTAAACGTGCTCAGAGTTAATATTGATTCAAGGGCTTATTAAGTTCATGACTTTGTTAACGGTTGATTCAAGATAGGGCCGGGAGCTTATGTTGCTCATTTTATCAAATAAAAGTTGGTCACTTCAAATGCAAGATGACTAGAATTTGTGGATTCAATTGAGATTAAGGTTCATTGACCAAGCATGCCATTTGAAGTCAACCGAGTTTCGACTTGTCATGAACGCTCAAGTTACATTAAGGATCGATTTAAGATGAACATGGAATAGAAATTTTTAATGTGATTCAAAGATAAGTCATTTAACTTGCTTGAAGAACAAGATATATGCGAGAGATGTTACAGGACTTGTGGATGATTTTCCTGGTTTTCTTATACTCATAATATAAGTGATTCATCATTTGGCTTTGTTTAGAATTTGGATTATGTTTGAGATATAAAAAGAAGATTTTGAACTTAAGGTTAAAGAAGGGATCGCGATTCATTCAAGGTACATTTTGAGAAGATGTAAGCATAAGAGAATAAATTCAAAGACTCTTTTCTTGATTCAACCATGGCTATTACAAAATCAAGAACTAGAACATATACATTTTTAACCATTCAAAATTACATAAAAGTGACAATTTCAATCCAACTTATGAATATATTACATAAAAAAAAACACACTCTCCCTTCACTCCCTCCAAGAATCGTGATGCTCAGGCCTTGCTTCCTCTGACGATCAAGAAGATCAACGATGCTTATCAAGCAAGTGATGATAAAACCAATATGACTATTGATGGTGTTGAAGTTGGCACAATTTCTCTTCTTGGTAGGATGTGCAGCAAAGTTGGACAGATCGCTGGTGTTAAATTTGTACTTGATGATGGTACTGGAATGATTGAGTGCATTAAATGGCTTTAAGAACCTACAGATTCAAGTCAAGTGGCGATTATTTTAAATAGAATGTATGTGCGGGTTTATGGACACTTGAAAGGCTTTCAGGGTAAAAAAAACTTGAATGTTTTCTCTTTTAGGCCTGTGACCGACTTCAACGAGATTGCCCACTATTTCATTGATGGCATATATGTTCATCTATATAATTCGAATTTTCAGGCTAGCAATCCCAATCAGAAACATGTTCCTAATTCCACACAAATCACTCCCACGAGAGGTCATCAATTTCAAGTTATATCAGCAAATCAATTCTCAGGTCAAAATAATAATGGTCAGAAGAGTGTTGAACAATTGGTGTCAGATTTCTTGCTTCTTCCCCAAAACATGGAAATGACTGAGGGAACCCCCCGTGATGTTATTAGAGAACATCTTGGAATTCCCCTGGATAGACTTAAGTTGGCTATTGAAAATCTTACGTATGAAGGTCAGATATATGAAGGTGTAACTGATAGATATAAGTCAGCTATCGATGGTTGACATCTTAGTGGCGGAGAATGAGCAGAACAAACTGAATGAAGAATGTGTAGATTTTGTCCCTACGAATGAAAATGTTGATGCCACGATCTCTGATACAACTTGCGGTTTGGAAAATTGTGAAATTGCCTTGAATGAGTTAGAAGGATCTGAAGTTCAAGTTGTATCTCATCATCAAGAGACTGAGTTTGATGCATTTCCTTCTATTCAGCAAGTTAGCTAGTCGATTACAGATACGACTGTGATTATACATGATATCTCAGAGCCAAGGGAGTTACCAAAGGAGAATATTGTTGCTCCTGTTGAAAAATCTGACTCACTCCATAATATTGATCTGAAGGCCAATATGATCAAAAGTGATGACCAAAAAGACCAGCACAATTGCAAATCTTGTAGTCTCTATTCCAGGCAGCCACTATTCCTGCAGCCGTTATTCCTGAAGCCTCTAACTCTGATGCTACTAAATCTGATATCGCTAATCCTACAGCTGCGATTCATGAAGCCAGTGTTCCCTCATTGTCTGAACCTGCTCCAACTGACAGCATGCATCATGAAGAAATTCCAGGTTGGTCTCTTTCTGAGGTGTACAAGCTATGGCCATTGATATAATACAGCTCGCATGGATAATGGAAGAGGATGATGAATATTAAGACGAGGAGGTTGAGTGAATTGTAGCATTTCGGAGAAGGATTATTAAAAATCGATCCTGCAAAATCACGTCAAAAAGCAGTTAATTCAACAACCCTCTAACAGAATCCAACCACCTGAACAGAATTCCCTAACTGTCCTAATTGTTAACAGAACTTTAAACTAACCTATAACCACCTGTAACAAACTTCCAACAAATTCCTAACAGATTCTAAGAGCAATAACAGAAAGAGAGGGAGGGATTCAGATTCATCATTCAACTCTACAGAATAGATTAAAAGCAATAACTGACCAATTGAGATTGAGGCTCGAATTCTATGGAAGAATCTTAGTCTTTTCCCGGCTCTGATCTGATTCTCCCTTACCTAATCATCCTTTTTCCTTCTCTACAACAACCACATCGCACACCTTCAAACACCTTCTCCAACTTTCAATTCTTTATAACTACTTCACAATCACCTCTATCGCTTATGGGAACCTCACACTGTATCTCTGCACCATTCTTCATCTCATCATTCTCTCACAAACTTTCTCCATTTTTCACCTTCACTCTTCCCTCAATAACCCTCACTATATGCTCACTCCCAAGGCCATTGAAGCTCATCCTCAGAGCTTCAACACGCCTGAGCTAAACCACCGTCTTCTAAACCTAAATCGCACCGCCTCAACAACAACCTTCAAGATTCTTTCCAATACACTTTACGCTCAACACACAACAACGATTATTCAACGAGACGCAAAAAAGCACACAGAATAAATATGAGAAGTAGAAGAAGAAGTGGAGAAGAGGAAGAAGAGTAGAGCTCACCGGAGGTTCGAAGCATTCGTCGGAATCTGCAATCTGCTCCGTCGTAAGGTATCTGTTTGTTTCGCTTTTTTGCTTTTTATTGATATCAAATAGTAGAGTAAGACTTCATTATTAGTTACCCTATGGTCTCGAACTGAAATCCTTCACTATTTGGATTTAATTTCACTTTTAGCTATCCTAAGGTTTCGAATTTTCGTTTGGAATTAGGAGAGTTAAGACGAAATTGATGGAAAACGAAGGTAGATTTAGACTCGAGTTTTGATTCCGGGTGTGATTAGTGTTTAGAATTTCTTGATTCAAGGAGGTTTGGTCGTTGATTGGTAGTGACACGACGATGATTTTTGTCGAGCAAGAACGAAAGAGAGAGATGAGAATGGAGGGTAAACTGAATGGTTGTATAACCTAATATGATCTAAACAATGTTGTCTCTCTCTATTCTTTCTTTGTTTTTTGTTTTATTCATTTTGTTGTTTTCATAATAATAATAACAAAAAGTGATGATAAGAAACTAGTGGACTGAGTATTAAATCTGTTGGGCCTTAGTCCAATGTGTGTGTTTTTGTAACAATTAACATACCTGATTTTACAAAAAAGAGCTCTTCTTGGATCTTAATGCTCGGGCCAGGAATTTTGAGTAGTTTACTTCATCACCCCTGTTCACTGGCTGGCACCCTGTAGGCTTATTCTATTTGCAATTTCTTTTAAAAATTTTGTGAATTAATAGATTTGTTTTTGAACTTTTTCCACATGATAAAAATTGCAAAAATCAAATACAAAATTGTTAGATCTCTTTTATTTGATTTTGGAAATTAAATCACGATTATCCGATTACTTGAGTATTTGTAATTTACCTTTGCTTGTTGAGTTGAGTCTTATGCAGGTTCACTTTTTTATATGCGGATGTGTTTTGGATTCCGATTGCGATTTATTTTCACATCGACGAAGTTTCGACACCTATTCCAAATATTCGATCTCTGACTGTTTGTTTGTTGATCCCAACTCGCGTGAAGTATCTTGGATTACTTTACTTCGGTTTCATTTTTTGCGGATGTCATTGTTCGTTTGGTATTACACTGTTTCCGAGTTATATTTCCGCATTTATCGCTTTTCTAGATATCATGAGAAGTAGGAAATAAAGAGCATTCACTCGAAGTCGCTATTTAAAGACCTATAGCAGGAATTCCGCACTTCATTTCTGTTATGTGTTGTGCTTGTGTTTGTTTACTTTCTTGTTGATCAATGAGTCACTCAATTTATAAGTTGAGATCACGACTTCTCTCTCAGTGCATGCTCCCTATAGGATTTTATCGCCTTCCTTTATTTCTTGTTGATCGATGAGTCACTCAATTTAGAAATTGAGATCACGACTTCGCTCTCATTGCATGTTCCCTATAGGATAGTTTTACTTTCTTTGGCATGCTAACTTAGATAGGATCTCTCTAGGTATACTCTCTTGATCTTATTGGCTTGTTTGCTTTATCCCTGTACATACCATGTTCCTTTAGGATGTGCTTGCTTTGTTCGAATGCAAGTTAGACCCTAGGTTACAAACCATGCATGCTAACAGTAGGTAGAAAATTCCCCTTCTATCCTTGACATAGGACTACCATTGTATGATAACATTAGGTTAGAGATAGGCTAGTCCCCCTTAGAATCTTTTCTTTCCCTTTTTGAATCCTTGCATCTAAAACAAAAAACTTCTTTTCTTAGCAAATCAAAAACATGCTAATCATACTTAAACCTTTTTTCAAGGTAACAAAAATACAAACTAATTCAAACAATTTTGTGCGCTCAAGCACCTTTTCTCTAAAACCCTTTTCAGGTAAGGATATGATTAGTTTACTTCTGTGCCAATGCATAAGTCTCCAAAGGTCGAGCTGCGGCAGAAGGCGGAATTAACATTGTCCATAAAAAACACAAAACAAATAAAAATATATGAGCCGAACTACGGTAGCTCTGATTCCTTAAAAAGGATACGTAGGCATTGGGGTAGGGCCCAAGCGAGTACAACTTTATTTTCCCTACATTCTTTCTCCTTTATTTGCATGCATTCTCTCTTGGTTTATAACCCCTAAGCATTATATTGAACACACCCTTTGATTAGAATAACGAGAGTGGATCCCGTAGAGTACTATGGACGTGTGGGGTGCTAATACCTCCCCCTCGCGTAATCGACTCCCTTACCCAATCTCTCGGTCGCAAGACCTTGATTTTCCCCTTTAGGTTTTCTTCGATGATTTTCCTTTCCCTTTCATATGGGATAAATAAATACTCGGTGGCGACTTCATTGATTTTACCGCTACAGAAAAATGGCGACTTCACTCGGGAATCGTGTCGACCAATTGTTGGTCCATCCCGTGAGTCACTCCTAGCTCCCATTTTTTCTTTTATTAGGGTGTTTATCATTATGCTTTTATGGATTATTCATTTGTATATGTTTAAGCATATGTTTGAGTTGCATCTTTATTGTTATTTGTCATATTGTTGCAGTGTTGGTTCCTCTGTCTCTTGATGGGTGGGATGTTACTATGAGGTAAAAGGCCTAATACCCAGGCCAAACGGAAACAATAGGAACACTAGGAATAGAGTGGAACATGAACGGCTAGTTGACTTAGGTTTCACTATGCCGCCATGTCGTCCACACTCAGATGAGGTACAAATGAGGGGCTATCATTTTCACGTAGGTGATATGGCGATAGTTTTTCAGGAGTACCCTCGATTCTGAGTTACCATTGACCTTACCATGACCTAGTCTGTACCCGTGAGTGGGGAGGGAATGATCTTTACAGGTACAGATGGTGACTATACATGTTCCGTTGGTGACTCTGTTTATACTGGTGACTTTGATCCTCAGTATTCTGATTTGGTCCGGACCTTTTATCTTATTACATATGACAGTGGTTTTGTTATCAGTTCAACAACTATCTAGCATTGCAGAAACTTCGATCTTATGATTATTACACTTTCATCATGGCATATTTATTTTATAAAAGAAACTAAAAAAAAAGCAAAAAATATATAACTGCCTAACCTGCATTTGCATTTCATTTCCAGGATTATTCTGAGGTCTGTTGTCAGCATCAAGGATGGATAACAACATGAAGACAAGTTTAGAGCCTCTTAGAAACACTGTTGCTTATCAGTTCCCATGCTTTGGTGGCCGATTGCGAGAGTTGGGAGCTCTTGTGAAAGGACCAAATGAAAAAGTTTTCAGAGGACAATATGGAAACCTATTGTCGTTGGTGAATGATGATTTTGAGGAGTGGGCCGTGAGAACTCTTCTTCAGTTCTATGATCCGCAGCTACGCTGTTTTACTTTCTGGGACTATCAATTGGCACCAACTCTTGAAGAGTATGCGCATATTATGGATGTCAGGGTGACCAACAGTATTCCCTTTGTTCAAGCACCAGGGATTCCAGACTATATGGCGATCGCCATAGCTCTTTATTTAACTCATGGTGAAGTTAAAAGTAATTGGATTAACAAAAGTGACACAAGCGGTCTCCCTCTAAATAACTTGATATCAAATGCTAAAGGTTTTGCAAA